TAATCCCAGCACTAGTTAACTGTAGAGGTCTGAAGGTCTGTATTGACAGTCAGGAAGTGATAGAGCTGTGCAAAAAAGAGGAAGTGATGTAGCTGGGCAGAGAGAGGAAGTAAGATGGTAGGGCACAGAGTATATAGGCGTGAGTATACAGGAAGTAGCTCTCTCTAGGGCTGAGGATTTCCTGGCAGTAAGAACTGGTGGTTTGGCTTGTTATATTCCTCTGATATCTCATCTTTCACCCCAATATCTGGCTCCAAGTTTTTCCTATTAATAAGACCATTTGGCAATTCATGTTACATAATACAACCATGAGATGACAGTATGCATCCGTGTTACAAGAGTGAGTTATATTGTAATATATAAAATTGAGACTATTGGGACTACCATAACCCCACTACGAGTATAGTTAAGAAAATAGTTTGAGCAGTGTGGCCCTTATTGGAGAACAGGGAAGAAAGTCATCTTTGTCATAGGTGTTACAGGCAAAGTGGTTGACTGTTGTCATCACTGTCCATTATAAACTGTGGCATTGGGGCCGGGTGGTGGTGGTGGCGGCGGCGGCGGCGGCGGCGCACGCCTTTAATCCCAACACTTGGGAGGCAGAGCCAGGCGGATCTCTGTGAGTTCGAGGCCAGCCTGGGCTACCAAGTGAGTTCCAGGAAAGGCGCAAAGCTACACAGAGAAACCCTGTCTCGAAAAACCAAAAAAAAAAAAAAAAAAAAAAAAAATTGTGGCATTGATTTGGTGGAAGAGCTTGAGATATTTTTCATTGGCCAGCATAAATTCAGGGTCGTCAATTGGATTTCCTCTATTACAACCTCGTGGGGAACATAACGAGTTTAACGTCATGATTAACTTGAATTTTGTTTAGTACGGTGAACTATAATCAGACAGCTGCCTGGAACACATACCAGGGCCCTATCGATATGGCAACTGCCATCATCCTTCTGTTACATCAGACTCCTGCATAAGGAGCAAGCATCTGGAAGCTTTGTAAGAGAACTTAGTTAAAGTGAAAGAGAAATAGAATTTTTATAGGATTGTCTAGAAAAGTTCCAAGGGTGCAACTTGTATATCCTGAATCATTTCCGAAACCTGTGAGTTTGCTGACAGGGTATCCACCAACTTCCTTGAATCAGGGAATGTGTGGTTAGGGTGCATAATGACACATTCTATGAGTAACTGTGATAAGTGCTCTTACAGAAAGAGACGGTGTTCTATAGTTGATGAATACAGCTTTTCGACTTGGCCGCAGTATTTAATAAGATAGGCAGGCCTGTTTTTCTCAGGTGTGCATAGATCCTGAAGTTACTGATGTAAGCTAAGGTCCTGTCCTATATCTGGTGTGTGTGTGTGTGTGTGTGTGTGTGTGTGTGTGTGTGTGTGTGTGTGTGTGTGTGTTGTCAGAAATAGGATCATTAATGAGAACTAGTTCAAGAAACATTTCATGTGGTTAAGTGTAATGACTAAGGCCTGTCATCCTTTGAATTGTTAGAAAAACACAGTGATCATTTTAATCTTGGTTATACTTTCCTGATAGATGTTTAAGACCATATATATAGGTAGCCAAAATTTATTTTTGTTTTACACACTGATAAGGCCCATTGAGGATGCCAGCCTTGGGAGTCACTTGGGCTCATAAGGAATCTCAGACGCCTCCAGCCTTTCTTTTTACCAGTTGTCCATCTATGTGAGGATAGGGCAAAGGCTTAGCTTGGCCTGGCTGTGGCTCTCTGTAAAAGCACTGAAGACATTTCTCCTGTGTGATTACCTGTCTTTATGTAGACTGAACGCTAGGTTAGAATTCATTGAGTAGAGTTCCTTGGCCTCCCTGAACAAGTGAGCAGGTGACTCTTCGTAGTTTCGTAACATTTCTAGAGATGTCCACAGTCCCCTGGGACCTCATTAACCTTAGAGGGCAAAGGAGAAATATTCTCCCTTTCAGTTCCTCTGACCACATTAGAATAGCCTCCAAGTATTATTATTAAACACACAGATCAGTACACTTGCACTTTTCACTACTGTATAATATTTGAACTGCCAAATAGTTGTAAATAAACTTTGATTTGATATTTTAGCCAGTTTTTGTATGATTGATCATAGACCTTAGAAACCTTTATGTCATACATATTATCTCTAAGTCTCATCCATCACGTACCTTAAATAACTTAGACCTTAATAACTTGCAAAAGCTTTTCATTTTTTCCCACTTGGTAAATATCCATCTACCTTAATCTTCATACATAAATCCTTCTTTACTAAAACAACTTTCATCTTTACATCATTTGATATTTTTCTTTTTTAATACCAACATTAACAAATGAACTTACTATCTGCTGTGAGAGTTATCTCCTTGGGGGAGAGGAGAGTAAGCAATGTCTATCCCCTCTTTATATGGTCCTAACAACAAACCAAAGTTCAATTTCATCAAAGTTTACCCTGAAGAACCCAGGAATTTCTTGGGCTTACTTACAGAGAGTTGGTAAGGCGTTATTGATGGGACTGTGGGTAAGTATGAGGACATTTTAAAGTCATATAGACTTTATGCAGATATACAATTGACTGGAATGGAATACTTTAATAAACTAAGATTTTAATCATTGTTGCTTGTTGAAATTATGTTCATATAATTTTTCATTTGAAAATTAACAGAGATTTTTAGTAAACATGTTGTTAGTTTGGACTAATGAAGGAAAAGCCCCAAAAGTGTTGCCACCAAGACTGACCCTTTATAGGACATTTATTTTTTTCTCAGCTCCTGCTACCTCTGTTTGTACATTGGAGGCTTTTCTTACACATGATGTGTTCCTCAGATCAAGCCCCAGTACAGAAGGGCTTTCATTCTTTCTCTGCTTCTATATTGTAATTTTGCTAGTCTTCAACCCAATGTTCATGCCACAGTATGTGCATAAGTCTATCCTTATCAGCTACTGTGGTGGGTATCTGTGTGATTATTAGCATTATAAACAATAGCTTTGTTCATAAGTCTCTCTGAATATTCACATATTAGGCGATTTGCTATTTACTTTTAATAAAAGGCAAGTTACATCTTTCAGTTATACTTTTCTTTAGCAACCTATGACTTTCCTTCCTTTTCTCCCTTCTTTTCCTTTCTTTCTTCTATTCTTCCTTTCTTTTGTGGAGGGATAGCTCCCACTTTGTGTAACCCAGTCTGGTTTCAATTTCATAATCCTCCTGTCTCAGGTTTCTCAGTTATATACTACTACCATCAGGTTGCAGTTTATTCAAATACTTTGATCTTAAAGGCCTCATTGAAATCCAGAAGCTGTGTCTGACACTGTAGAGAGGGCTCAGTGGTCAAGAGCACTTGCGGCTCTTCCAGAGGGCCTGAGTTTCATTCCCACAACTACCTATAACTCCAGCTCCAAGGGATCCCAGGCCCTCTTCCTATCTACTTGATAAACTCTCATTGCAAAAGGACATTTCCCACCTCAAAATGAAAAGAGGTAATTTATCTGGAGCCAAATATAAGTGGCCATGACCTGGGAACCCCAGATTCTATGTTCTAAAGTGAAAGACATTTCGTGAAGTTTTTATAACAGGGAAATTCATAAATGAAGACTTAAAAAAAAAAAGAACATGTTGGTAGACCTGATATTAATGCAAATGTTAAATAATGTTTCTATAAAGTTTTTTTTCATTAATTGCACTGAACTGGACCTCCCACAATGTGGTAAAACCCAGTGTTGCAAGTTGGCTCCCTGAATAGTAGTAAATTCTGTTAAACAACAACAAAACTCTTACTAAAAATCAGGTTTGAATATACAGTAAAAAGAAAATATGTTGGTGGAAGCATCAGAGAGGTGGAGCACAGGCAAATGGAAGACATCTTTATTGTAAACCTCAGGCACTGTTGATGGAACACTTAGTTGTGTGGTTGCTAGAAGGTAGAGGTCTGAAGAGTTAGCACATTCCAAAGGAGAAGTAGTGCTTTGTTTACATACCAAATGATTTACCTAATGTTCATGCAGCTGTTAGGTCAGGTTCAGTGGGGGCCAGTAAACATCTGTTGAGAGGACTAACCATTGCTCAAGGCAATTTGGCTCTGGCCTTGCAACATTCCAACTGTTATGGGGAGCCCACCAGAGATGACCATTCAGATACAGTCTATAGTCAATTGAAAGTCTTTATTCCGGCCAGCTGGGACTATACTTAGATATTCAGGGACCCAGGTATAGCCTCAAGTGTCCAGAGAAAATGGTCTCTGAAAACAAGAACTACATCTTGCCAACAAATGCCTAGCATCTTACTTAGCAGCTACAGAGTTCTTTAAAGAAGCAAGCTATTTAACAGAACCAAGTTAACCGGAGCATCTTGGCTTGGGTCTTAGAATACAGGTGGATAATTTTCCACAGATTCTCCATCAAGGAGATTGTATTTCAGTTAAACCTGCAATGGCCTCAGCAAGAATACAAGATGAAGAACCTCTGCACTGTCTTGCCTTGTTACAACACCTATCCACTATCAGTGAAATTCTGATCAGCCATGCAGGAGGTTCATCTTGAAGGTACAGCTTTTTTTTTTCTGGGAACTTTGTCCACAGCACCCCCATGCATGTAGCAGACAGTCTCTCTCTCTCTCTCTCTCTCTCTCTCTCTCTCTCTCTCTCTCTCCCCTCTCTCTCTCTCACACACACACATACATACACACACACACACACACAAACACTCATACAATCACTCTCACATACAAAAACACATACATACACATAAATAAATACACAAAATAGATCCTTATAAAAATATATACATGATCCTAGGTAATCAAAACAAAGAGAATGAAAGCTATTAGGAACAAAATACTTATTTTAAAGATGGCCACTAGAGATTTTAGCAGAGAAGTTGGCCAAGGGACTATCCAAGAGTTACTGTAAAGGTACTGTCCTGGGAGTGTGCAAGAAGTGAACATGGCAAGCTGAAACGCATGTGTTTTTAATGTGGGGGAATCTAACATCTTAATTGCTTTATTTGCTTTTCAAGGTGGTGAATCCCAAAAAGAAAGGAAAAAAGAAAAAATACACCAATTCAGGAACAGTAAGTCACATTTAATGATATTGGTTAAAGTCACGAATCAGAAAGGACTTAACAGTTTGGAGCATACTTAAATGATCTCAGAAAGAGATTTACTTCACTTAGCATCTCAAAACAAAGGCATGTGGTGGGAGCATCATCTTCCTAGGGAGGGTGGTCCTGGAGAAGAGATGATGGAGGCAGTGGCTGGGTTCCATGCTGGCTTCTGTCCAGGGAGGCAGAGGGGCTGTTCTGACTTCTCTATTCAGTGGGATTTAGTGCCAAAAGGCCAAGCTCAGAATGACTGCATTACTCAGTGACTCCTAAGCTTGACCTGGGAGATCAATGCTGTCACTGATGGAATCTCAAATATCAGTTCTGGGGATGCTGGGGGAGGTCAGGACCAGGTGGCAGGGCAAAGGTAGTCAGAAAATGGAAAAAACAAAGAGCACCCTATTTTCAGATTTAAAAAAAAAAAAAAGAATTTTTTTCCTAACATTAACTTTACTTAGAAGAAACAAAGCCTTAAATTGTCTTCATTTTCTTTTAAAGTTTTGTATTAATCATAACGAATCAAATACTAGACAGCCTTTTTAGAGCACAGTAGCAGAAATGGCCATTGCTTGCACAGCTCAGCTTGGTGAGTCCACATGTAGCTGTAACAGCATTGTGTCCCTGCAGGTGACTTCCCTGCTATTCTTCACAGTCAGAGAGAGGAATTAGATAATTAATGCTGCCTTTCATCCCTTTCCTTCTGATCACCTCAAATGCATGTCCCAGCAGTTTTAATAAATAATAATGTCTTTAGTCATTTTTTAAATGTTAGGGAATATTATATTCTCTTTAGTAGAAAACTATCCATGTCCAATCCATGTTGGGACTACAATCAATACTACTCTCTCTCTCCCTCTCTCTCTCTCTCTCTCTCTCTCTCTCTCTCTCTCTCTCTTTAGGTAACCTTACTGTCTTTCTTGGTGGAAACAGAAGTCTCCTTCTTAGACTATATTAAAGGAGGGTAAGTCATCTTCTAAAACTTGCACAGTATTTTTTTTGTGTATAGTTTGTTTCCATGACCACAGAAGCAGCTGATTGTTCTATATACATATGTATGTACATATAATAGGTATGCATATATAATTAATTTTAGCATGTGTACTGGGGGCAGTGCATGCATGTCACACACAGAGCCTGGGTGGATGAACTCAGGGGACACTTTGCAAGAATTGGTCCTTTCCTTTCCCACTGTGGACTTCAGGGAAGGAATTCAAGTCCTTAGGCATATCAGCAGGCACATTTACCCACTAAGCCATCATTCTGGGCTCCACTTCTGAATATTTTGATGGCACTTTTATTTCAGACCTTCACAGAAACACAAGTTGCACATGCCATTGTGTTTTGTCCTGGCTGGGGCTTCTATTGCTGTGACAAAACACCATGACCAAAAGCAACTTGTAGGGGACAGAGTTCCTAAAGGAAATCAAGTAGGGACCTTAACCTGGAGGCAGGAGCTGATACAGAGGCTACAGAGGGGTGCTGCTTACTGGCTTGCTCTTCATAGCTTGTTCAGCCTGCTTTCTTATAGAACCCAGGACCAGCAGCCCAGCGAAGGCACCATCCACCATGGGCTGAGACATCCCTTATCAATTACTAAGAAAATGTCCTACAATCCTGCCTATAGCCTGGTATGATGGAGGCATTTTATCATTTGAGGTTCCCTCCTCTCAAATGACTCTAGCTTCTGTCAAGTTGACATAAAACTACCAAGGACAGTTACTTCAATTAAATGAATATAAAACTGTGGTGAACAGCACTGACTACACTTCAACAAGAATGCCTTTAAGTTCACTGCATAGAGAAAACGCTGCAGGATCACATGGAATATGTTCTTACCATTCATTCTGTATGAATTATATTGCTAGAAAGATGTCCTGGTTCATGCTCCTAACATCTGTGCATGAATGTTTGCCAAATTCTAACCCTTACTCAAGACTGTCCCTTCTTTTAGTTTTGCAAATTTACTAATTAAATAGGTCACTGTCTTTTAAATTTTATTTTTATTTAATTTATTCCTTGAGAATTCCATACATGTATACAATGAAATAAGATCATATCTAATTCCAGCCTCCCCCTCCCCCCTCCAAAACCTCCCCCCGGATCCCCTGCTCAACATGTCACCTCCCTACATCATGCCCTCCTCTTTTTTTAAAAAAAGAAATATAATAACCTCAGAAGTGCAGTTAGTGCTGTATGTATGTGGGGGTCATCACTAGCACATGGACAGCCTACTGGTAGTCACATCCCCGAAGATAAGTGAGTCTCCTTCCCCCAGACCAATCATCTGTCCTTTTAGTCAGTTCCAGGTCTCTGCAAAAGCCTTTCTTGAGAGGCATTGAAAAAAGAAGGCTTGCAGGCTTCTGCATCTTCCTCCCACTCTTCCTCTAGGTCCATTGAAGGGTTGGGGATTTTCACTGAAGACAGCCTTCGAGGGTAGCGTGGAGCACAGACCTCACAGCAATGCTTTGCTACCCTTCGCAGGACCTTCTGCCCTGGTCTAAAACCTCTTGCACATACATCAGAAGCGTTTCTTCTAGAGTTAGCCCTTGTGGCCTGGCCTTTTATTTGCAGGGTGACACTAGAAACAGTAAAATAAACCAACACTCCAGGCTATGATCAGATTCTAAACCCAGTGAGCTTACCATTGGCCGAATTATAAACCCTCGCATCCACCTTTACTCCCTGTGTCTTATACCATCACCAAAATAATTAAAGAAAAGGAAATAAAGAAGAAGAAGATAAAAAGAAGATGTAGCAGGGTTGTATGCAGGGTTTCTAGGATAGTTAAAAAAAAAAAAAAAAAACGGGCCAAGGAGATTTAAGCATGCTTTTTAAAATCTCAGAGCAATATAAAACCTGATTATGTACTGACCGACTACTGATGCTTCATGAAGTACAATTTATAATACAGCCAGAGCATGAAAAGTTAAATGTCAGAGACTGTGTTCCTTACCAATATCACCTGTGGTTGGAGGAAGAGAGAAATGCTCTCATTTAGTATTTCTCCAGTATTTTGGAGTGAAATGCACTTCAGACTGTATATTATCTTTGTTCACATTAAAACTCCCCGAAAGTTTGTTTTATAGATACTTGATATTGAAGTCTGTATATTCTTAAAGGTAATAAAAGTTAAAAAAAATTAAATTATAAATTTTTTTTTGCCTCTACCAGAAATCACTGTTCCTGGACTTTTATTCTGATGTTATTTGGAGGATGAAATACTGAGATCAGGAGCATAAACTGCTAATTTTCTTCCTGTCATGATAGAAGGAGTGGGAGAGAGTGGCATTGGAAAGATACTATGTGAATAAATTCTGGGACATAATTTGAATATTTCAGCAGAGTTAAGAGAGGGTTGCTGAGGCTTACAGCAGTGCATAATTATGGCCATGAGTCTCAACTTAACCGCATGTTTCAAACAGTAGGCCTGCCTGCCTCTTCCCACCAGAACCTGTTTCTGTTTCTAATAAGTAGGAATAAAAATAATGATGCCTGACTCAAAGTAACTGTGGGATTGGATTTTGTATAGTTCTAACCCTCAGTAAATACTAGCCAGTGTTTCCTGAAACCTTCAGTGGATTTAAAATACCAATATGCTTTATCACATTTGCTTTCCATAATGTTAGTGGTGGTAATTTTCAGTTCTCAAAGACAGGGAGAGAAAAGATAAATTTATATGAACAAAGTCAGTGAGGTTTATCTTTTAGTTAAGCTCCTCTGGAAAGTAAATACTGTTTTCAGACAATACTGTTCATCCCATCCACATCTTGATTCTGACCCTAAACCTTGTAAAGATTATAGCTAAATAGATTATAGATAAAAAGATTATAGATAAATCTCTCCCAGTTACAAGTAATAAAAGCCTTTATGGGAGAAGAGAGAAGACAGGGCTACCCTGTCTTCAGCTCATTTTAAAGGCCAGTGTGAATGTCTTGATTTTGCTTATTTGGAAGGCTAGCTAACTATCAGAGAATTTACAAATCAGCCCCATGGTAGTTTTCCTTAAAAACACTTAGAGCTGTTTCAAAAATGCAAAATGCTCACCTGGTTTTATAAAATGTATGGCATTACTTTGAATGTTGCCTCAGGGAGCGTGCTTTGCCAGAGCAGGCAACACTATAAAGTTTTTCTAATCTGATTTCTTGTTTGAATATGCATGCCTAGAACTTTTTTTTAAATAGGGTTCCTTGTAGGGGCATCTAAGAGCTTTGTACTCATCAAAACAGTAGAATGCTAAACACTGCGGCTCTGAATGGAGATAAATCTAATAGAAGCTAGCCTTCCTTCTGTAAACTAACAGGGAATGCTTTCCTGTCTCATCTAAACCAACACATAGAAAAGAGACCTTTACACATATTAAAAGACATCTCAAAACTTGTTTTAGTTAATGCTTGATTCTAAATTTGTTTGTTTGTTTATTGTTTGGGACAGGGTTTCTCTGTGAAGCAGTCCTGACTGTCCTAGAACTCACTCTGTAGAACAGGCTGGCCTCAAACTCACAGAGATCCACCTGCCTCTGCCTCCCAAGTGCTAGGATTAAAGGTGTAAGCCACCCACCACCGCCTGACTAAATTTGTATATTTAAAGGGAAAAGTTGGGAGGAGGGTCAAGCAAATGATATATGCATGAAAATCCGATATGGAAACCCATTTCTTTGCATGGCAATTTGAAATGAAAGTAAAATGCTTGAAGTTAACAAAGTAAATAGGCTTGGAAGTCAAGAGATGTCTAGCCTTGCGCCGAGCAGAGGAAGGGAGGGGTGGATCCAGCAGAGGGCTGTCAAAGCACTGTAAACCTTCTCCTGCTAATTGGGGGGTCAATCATCTCTCTAAAGGGGAATTCTCTTTGAAGTATGTGAGCTTCTGTAGAGGGGGTTGTAATCATTTATTTGAGAGAACAGCTGTGGAAAGCATGCTTCTCTCTCTAAAGGACTTGCACTCTGGAGAGCAATTAGAAGTTGGGGAGGGAAAACCGAGAGGAAACAAGGGCTAATCCAGGGTGGGTGGAAAATCTGTCCTTGCTAGTGCTTCTGCAGATGCCGCCACACAGACTGTGTGTCGGGAGGTCACGGGGATGCGCTGTTTTGAAGTTCTCTCTGCAGCAGTTCATCCCGTGATGAATGCAGTGGTTCTAATTCATTGCTTGACCCTGAACACTAGCCAACAAGTATGGAGAGGATTAAAGAAAAACACATCTTAAGGCAGTATACAGAGAACTGTCTCTCCTGAGAGGAAAGGGTTAGTTAGCATGAACCTGGAAAAGCCTGGCCTTCTCGGGAGTGTGTTCTGCAGCTTATAGATCTGCTGATTTATCACATACAGGTACTCAGTATTCTGTTTCCTTTAAAGCAGTGGTTCTCCACCTCCCTAATGCTTCAACCCCTTAATACAGTTCTTCATGTTGTGGTAACCCCTCCAACCATAAAGTGATTTCATTGCTGCTTCATAACTGTAATTTTGCTACTGTTTGAATCATAATATAAATATCTGCTATGCATGATATTTGACATTTGACCCATGAAGGGGCCATAACACACAGGTTGAGAACTGCTGCTTTTAAAAGACTGGCACCTATTTATTATATGAGAAAATTGTGCCATGGGAAGTTGGTAGTTTGGGCAAGGATTTGTGCACACAACCCCTAGCTTGCTATGATTCAGGGATTCAGGCTCTGCTCTGTGATTGACAACCCAATGTTTTTATACTAGGCAAAATTTTCTCTCCATCACCTACTTCATCTTAAATGGAATTTTTTGAGCAGTGCTTGTGTTATAGACCAGGGGTTCGTTTTTATTTGTTTGTTTTGATATTAGTTATGGGATGTTTTTTTAGCTATCAGTTAAAGAGAAGGTGAGGTAATGTCTTGCGAAATTATACTTTGAGGCCCCTGTATTGTGTTTAAAACACTGAACTCTACGATGTGTAGCCCTGACACTTAAAGTTCCTATATAACATCATGAAA